AGGCCCGCTGCAGTTTCCTCCATTCTTATGTTCTTATGTTCCCTTAGCTGATACGGATAGGTGATGGTTTAAGCTTTTAACGTGCTTGTGGTTCCATTGTTTGAGATGGTCGGGTGATCAGCGATGGTGCTGCGGCTATCTTTTGTATTTTCGTGCAGGTGTGATGGATTTATCCATTATTTTTACCTCGCGGAAGAGAAGTTCAATTTTAATTCATTCTTAATTTTGTTTGCTACTCTTGAGATATTGTTACTCATGAGATGTGGAAGGACCTAAAATTGATGTATGTACTTTAATGAAGGCTGGGGAAGATGCTGGTCTATCAGGGAGGATATTTCACGTTTAATAGAGAAAGAAGAACAGAGATATAAGGAAGCCATAGCTCGCGAAGAACGTGCAGCAGAGTGGGAGGCTAAACGTCATGAGTTAGATTTAGCAGAGGAAGAGAAACAACGCTCACATGAATTAGCCTTGGCTTATTTGGCTATCCGCTTCAGGGGTATCTGTGGATGTAGATGAAAGTATATCTAAATCTCTGAAGGGACTACAGATTCCTTGTTTTATCGAGGGCACAGATGATATGGACTTATTTTTACGTCGGTTTGAACGTATTGCTGAGCTTCAGAGATGGAAGAAAAATGAGTATTACATATATCTCGGTACTTTATTACGAGGTAAGGGGCTACAAACTTATATGGGTCTTCCTCATGAGACTTTCGAGAATTATGAAGTATTAAAGAAGGCTTTACTTTTGACTGAAGCAGTTGACATAGAATCATACAGCAGTAAATTTAAAGAGTGTAGACTAAAGGATGGAGAAACTTATGTTAAGATGATTACTCGAATGGAGAACCATTTCGAAGATGGCTTACTATGAGTGAGGTAAGCGAAGATTTTGAGTCTGTAGTCGATTTTATGATTAGAGATAATTTCTATAGCAATTGTTCTAATGAATTCAGGACTTTTCTAAAAAAAAAAATGGAACTGGCTGATAACTTAAAAATTGCCCAGACAGATATAGACTTGCCCATAGAAGTAGTAAAACTAAAACTTTGCCCAAACAACTTTCTGATGTCTACAATTCTGTAACGTCCGACTCTCAAAAGAAGGAAGTTACATATCATCACTGTAAAGAGAAAGGGCACATACGACCTTCGACCTGTAGGTAGTAGGCAGCTACCAAACAGGGAGGTACTACTGCCTGGGAAGATATTGGAAGCATAATGTATTGTCTAATGGTAGACTCTGCTGCCATATGGCATCACGAAAATTGTAACCAAGTCCCAGGTTGCTGATCTGACTTTCTGCCTCATTTACACACAATTGCAGGGTCTCAATTGTTTCTCTTACCATTGACAACATAACATACATATATTGTTTCTCATTCTTGATTTTGTTTCATTTTTGTATTTCTTTATGGTTCTTCATTATTATTATTATTATTATTATTATTATTTTATTTTTATTTTATTTTCTATTAAAAAAATTACTTATCTGAATTATTATTATTATTATTTTTATTATTATTATTATTATTATTATTATTATTATTATTATTATTATTATTATTATTATTATTATTATTATTATTATTATTACATTTTCTCCCCCCAGGCCCCGATGTGGGTCAGTGTCCTGTGCCCGGGTGGGCACATCGAAAGTAAACTTTGTGTTCAAAACTAAAACCTGTTCTAAGAATGCTTTACTTGAGAAGGGTAAATTATTTGACAAAGATGTGAATATCATGCTTGGCACTGGGTGTAGTGCAGTCATAATTAATGATACATTAATTCCTAAGAATAACAAGGAAAAGTTAGTGAGGGTGTATGACTGTCTGGGAGTTCATCATTCTATCCTGAGGTTCGTTGTTACCTCCAGTGTAAGTTTGTATCTGACTGGGTCAAAGCTATTGCTGCCCCCTTAAGGTTTACTGATGTCTTGGTAGGCCTGGTACCAGGTGTAACTGTTCCCACTGTTCACGTGCCTGTTCCTTAAGCTAAGGATAACCAACCAAGTGATGTCAGAGTTTTTGCAGTTCAGACAAGATCTTAATCTCAAAAAGGACCAGTACAAAAACTGTTGACTCCTGTAGACTTGGAAAGGTCCATATTGTGTCACTGGAACTCATTAAAATGGTGTAGGCTATTGCGTCAAAGTTCGAGATAAGATCAAACTTTTTCATGTGAACATGCTAAAGAAATACATTAAAAGAGATTCCTCTAACCCTGACTCTGTGCAGTGTAATGTATGCATCATTCATTCAAATCAAGAAGATCCAGGTTCGAAATTGGATATTATTGTTTATGATTCCTCTGATACAAGCTCTAAGGTTAGTATCAATAGCACATTAACCTGTGAACAAAAGGAAGATATTGATTCCATTATTATAGAATGTTCAGATGTGTTTTCTTGTAAACCATGTAAAACAGAAAGTATTTACCGTGACATTAAATTAACTACAGATATCCCAGTTTACAAGAAACCAAATCAAATGCCTCATAATATGGTTAAGGTGTTTAACGATGAAGTTGATAAATTGTTTGACATGGGAATTATTGAACATTCTGACCATGCATATTGTTCGCCTGTCGTTCTTGTAAGGAAGCCTGACGATTATGGACATTGTGTTAATGATATAACCTATTTTGATGCTGA